CTCCCAACTACTACACTAATGAAACAGCATAGTGAAATAAGAGAGAGTGTGGCAGGCCAAAGATCCTAAAAGAGATATAACTGCAGGCCTGACAGACAGTGGTTTTTAATAGAAATGAAGTCCCTAAAGCAAGGGGGGGGAGGAGTCAAACTCAAGGCCTGCAGGCCGGCCTGGTGTGTGTGTATGTGCTTAGATTTGGCCCACGGGGCCACCCCGGAAACAGCGAAGGACCAGCCTGCAGTGCCTCGCACAGCTCCTCCCGAGCTCTGTTTTTGCTGGCAGAGGGCTGCAGGAGGCCGTCGCAGCTGAAAATGGAGCCCGTGAGGCAAAGGTGATATTCTGCCAGTTTGTGTGAACTGATAGTGAGGGCAGTGGGAAGCTCCGCCCACCTGCCTAGACATCATCACGGACGGACGTTCTGCGCATGTGCAGAGGGTTCTGCGCCTGCACAGAAGCGCCGTGTGTCAGCAAAGCGAGAGAGCGCTCCCGGTTCCAAAATGGTAGGAAAGGTAAGAGAATTTCGTGCCTGCTGCGAGGGCTTTGCATGGCCCTCCCCAGTGCCTTTTTTTGGCTGGCAGAGGGTTGCTGGAGGCCGTCGCAGCTGAGAATGGAGCTGGGGAGCCCGTTTTCGCTGGCAGACTGCTCAGGCCCCCACAAGAGCCTCCTGACACAAGTGACTTAAAGCTGGCTACGCCTACCCTGAGGTCAAACATAATGATGTGGCCCTCAATGAAATCGAGTTTGACACCCCTGTCCTAGAACGAAGCCATCAAATGAAGAAATTACCACCCTCAGATGCAACCCCATTAGCAACGTATTATTTGCTTAAATCCTGCAGAATAAAACCCGAAAAATATCATGTGCCCTGAGTAACGTGTGGGTCCTTCCTAAACAAAATATTCAAACTCAGGGCTTTGCTTGAGACTTCCATGCATTCTATATCTGTCTATCTCTGCCTCTGTATACAACCTACATCCATGCTGATGGACAAGCTGTTACAGTAAGTTGCCTACAGAGCTCTTGAGTCGTGGCCTGGATAATATTTAATTTTCATTGTCTTTTGAAAAGAAGGCATTTTTAAAGCAACTTCAACTCTGCCTATATCTAGAAGCCAAGAAGAAAAACAGGTAATTCTTGAATAGTTAGGAAGGAAAGAAGGGAGGGAGGGAAGGAGGGAGGGAGGAAAAGAGAGAGGGAGGGAGGAGTCACACAGGCAAAGGATAAAACCTTTATTTCTGAGCCTTGGCAACCTGAAGCTGTATGAACTTCAACTCCCAGACTTCCCCTGCCAGCTGTTGAAAGTATCATTATAAATATAATCTCTGCAGTTGAGAGAAGGGGCAGCCTTGCAGAAAACAGCATTAATTTGCGCAGTTGCCCAAAGATTTCTATAGATCATGTCATAGCCTTATAGGCAGTCCTTGCAGTGTTAAATGGATGCATTCACAGTTGTGGGATTCCAGCTATAGGTTAAAGATGGGAGTGAAAATCAAAAAAATGGCAATCTTTTGGTGCTTTTAGCACTTTTGCAAAAGCTTACAGTCCATTAGCTTCACTTCTTTCTGCCGTCATTAATTCGAGCAGGAAACCAGATCTGGCCTAAAACAAACAATGGATTTGTGTAAAGCCACACAAATAGGACAAATTACTTATTTGGGTTATGATTGGGCTAGAAATAAACATACTATTTATTTTTAAATAATTAAAGTTTAACTCAGGGGCTGTCACAAAGAAGAGGGAGCCAAGCTATTCTCCAAAGCACCTGAGGACAGGACAAGAAGCAATGGGTGGAAACTAATCAAGGAGAGAAGCAACTTAGAACGAAGGAGAAATTTCCTGACAGTGAGAACAATTAATCAGTGGAACGGCTTGCCTCCAGAAGTTGTGACTGCTCCAACACTGGAGGTTTTTAAGAAGAGATTGGACAACCATTTGCCCGAAGTGGTGTAGGGTTTCCTGCCTAAGCAGGGGACTGGAGTGGAAGACCTCCAAGGTCCCTTCCAACTCTGTTATTCTATCCTAAACACGAATAAGACTAATTATTTCTATGGTGTTACGGCTAGGCTAGAAGTAAACATACCGTTTACTTTTTATAATTATATTTAATTTTGTTTATGGTGGGGATTCTCCCACTGCTCTGCAACCAGCCACAAAACCTGTGATGGCAAAGCACGGCACGAAGGCAGTAGAGAATTCTGACAATGCTCACTCAGCCTGGGCAAGCCCGATCAAATTAAAAAACAAAACAGAACAATGGGACACCCCCACCCACCAAACTGCTCACGGCCCCCAGAACAAGCCTTGACCCACAATTTAAGAATCTCCGTACCGAAAGTTTCTTCCGTGCTAAAAGGGCTACGGAAAACATTTCTGGTTTATAGCTGAATTAGTGAAGACCAAAAAGAGTGAGTCTAATTGCATCTTAGGGATTAAGCCTCTATTCTTTTTTGAAACGTTAACTGCTAACAGCTGCAATTTCGTTTCTGGGCTGTATGGAGCAGGACTATTAATAGGCCAGTCCTTGAAGGCAGAATGCTAAAATTATCCCCCTGCCTGCTTTTCTAAACCATTCGGGTTAACCTCCTTTGTGTTCTGCTATCTGATCCCATTTATCCACTTAATAACCCCTACAGACAAGATAAGCTGAAAGATCGCAACCAGATCTTTGAAGTCTGCGTGTAGAGAGCGATCTCCTCTTGTCATTTTAACTCTGGCTGGTACATGTGAATTTATAGAATCCACTGTGATCTACTTTCTCTGCATTGTGCAGAATTCTATTAACTTCTCTTACATCTGCCCTCGCCTAATTGTCATTATTGCTTTTAAAGTAGCAATATATTTCTCCCCTCCCACCCAACAATCAGGCAGTTGCTGCAATCCTTAGAGTATTTAGATTCTCTTCTCAGCATCTTTCTGAAGACAGCACCAAAATGTCTGAGTTTAGCCTTGTAAGGTACACCAGACTAAGAAGCTGACATCATGTACCCCATAAGCTACATTTCATTAAAGGTAAAGGTTCCCCTTGCACATATGTGCTAGTCGTTCCCGACTCTAGGGGGCGGTGCTCATCTCCGTTTCAAAGCCGAAGAGCCAGCACTGTCCGAAAGCATCTCCGTGGTCATGTGGCCAGCATGACTAAACGCCCAAGGCACATGGAATGCTGTTACCTTCCCACCAAAGGTGGTTCCCATTTTTCTATTTGCATTTTTACCTACTTTTGAACTGCTAGGTTGGCAGAGGCTGGGACAAGTAACGGGAGCTCACTCTGTTAGGCATGCTAGGGATTTGGACTGCCGAACTGCCAGCCTTTCTGATCGACAAGCTCAGCATCTTAGCCACTGAGTCACTGTGTCCCCTACTTTCATTGGAATGGCTATATGTCTATGGACATCCTCAATCATCCAGGTCATAGTTGTCCCAAAGGTACTTTTTCAAGAGGCAAGTCAACTTTCTCTGGCTCTCTTCTGGTTTCTGGTGCTCCTGTGTACGTGAAGACCAACTGGCGGGTGCTCTGGAAGAGCTACAGGCGATGGCTCGCATGCCCGAAGAGATGGTTCCGCGTGCCACTTCCGGCACTCGTGCCATAGGTTCGCCATCACGGCTCTCTAGATCAAACTTGATTTCATTGAGTGTCGCATCAGGGTTGTGTTTGACCTCGGGGAGGGGGCATGGCCAACTTGACCTCACTCATGTCGGAGTGGCTGTGGTGGCCCGAGCGCTTTGCCAGAGAAAACAGGCTCCCGAGCTTCGTTTTCGACTGCGATGGCTTCCAGTAACCCTCTGCCAGCGAAAACAGAACTCTGTTTTCGCTGGCAGAGGCACCGCGGGCCGGTCATTCGCTGTTTCCGGGGTAGCCCAGCGGGTCGGATCTAAGCACCACGTGGGCCGGATCTGGCCTGTAGGCTTTGAGTTTGACACCCCTGCTCTAGATCTAGAGCTACACTTTTTTTTATAATCTGAAAACAATACCACCTTTTGACCACTTTCGGTGCTGAATTGGCACCTGACAGAGGGATGAACTGGCAAAAAATAGAATGATTCGAAAGACGGATGAATTAGGGGTCGGCAAACTTAAACACTCAAAGAGCCATTTGGACCCGTTTCCCGCAGAAAACACCGGGAACCACAAAGGTCCTAACCGGAAGCCCCCTGTTCAATTCTGGAGCTGACCAGAAGTTCAGTTCCCCCACCGTAGAGTCTCCTCCTAGCACGGCGCACTTTTCCCTCTACCTGTCATAGCCGAAAGCCCTATCAATTGTGGAGACAACTGGAAAACCCTCCCCTTGCCACAGAGTCTTCTCCTGGCGCACTGTGCTTCTCCCCCCCACCCCCCGGAAGCTCCTCTCAAAATTGTGGTGCCAACCGGTGATGGAGCCGCAGCAGAGGGAGGAAAGAGCCACATGCGGTTCCAGAGCCGCAGTTTGCTGACCCCTGAGTTAGGGTAACACCATTTTTAGGACAGTTGGAAGACATTTCAGGCTGCACTTATTAATTTGTATTTATTTATTTTTTTACCTTCAGATCATCCAAACTAGGAGGAAGAGGTCCTGGCTTTCTGTTTGAAATATTAGTGTTCGGTCTGGGTGTGCTGACAGCTACTGAAGAGATGCTGTTGTTCAAAGCATTGAGTGGTACATTCCCAGTGTTACCCTGTTTGTCATTTATTTGCCTTCAAAGGAAGAAAATAAAAAGATGACATCAACCTTCAAAACCAAATCTATCTTTCCCATCCATTTCTTTCAACGTGTACTGCCAATTTCCCCCCCCCTCTTTAGCCGTCAAGCATTTTATCTATTTTAACTGGGTTGGCTTACAGAAATGTAATTTTAAAGCTTCAAAGTTATCTTGTTTAGCTTTGAAGAATTATTTTTATTCCGTTAATGTAACTTCCAAAACTAAACTGCAATGAGGAAAAATTTTAAAAATTAATTACTCTCTTCCCTTTTTTCAGGGGCAAAAAAAAGGGGGCGGGGGGGGGGGAGGCGAGGAAACCAAAAGAAGTCAAAAACTGTCCAAGATTCACCTACTTGAGTGGTGCAGGAAGAATTGTCTGATAATTGTAATGTTGTTGCTGTTGGCTCAGGATTTGCAGTTGCAAAAAGAGTTGTTGTTGCTGCAGCAAACGAGCGTAGTTGGAGTCCATCGGGGCCTCGTTTTTCTCTAACTTCTGATCGGGGGGGATATACTGGTGGTACTTCAGTTTCTTCACTCTGGGCTTAGGTTCTTTGGACTTCTTGCTCCGGGGTCTGTCACTGGGGTTCTTGGGGTGCGGTTGCTATTGGCAGAGAGAAAAATACAAATAAATCCAAAACTCTTATTTTGTGTTACAGTAGAGGTTTTATTTACTTCTTTGTTCGTTAGATCGGAGGCTTCCAAACATGGCAACCTTTAAGACTTGTGGACTTCAATTCCCAGAATCCCCCATGCCGACTAGGGAATTCTGGGAATTGAATTCTGGGAACAAGTCTTAAAGGTTGCCAAGTTTGAAGACTCCTGCGTTACATGGATGATTCTTTTCTCCAGAAACTCAAGAGGCCCCTCAAATTTCATCTCCACAACGGCAAGTCTATGAGAAAGAATAATGATTGGCCCAAAGTCACTGAGTGAGTGTTCATGGCTGCGCGTGGATTTGGCTAGTTCAGGTAGTCCTCGACTTACAACTACAAGGGAAGATCTGAATTTCTGTTTCTAAGGAAAGCGACTGTACCCAATTTTTACAACCCGTTTTTGCCACGGTTGTTAAGCAGATCAGTGAAGTTGGTAAGTGAACCATGCAGTCATTAAACAAATCTGGCATATATACTGTTGAATATACATATACATATACATATACATATACATATACATATACATATACATATACATATATACATATATACATATATACATATATATATGTATATATGTATATATTATATATAGATTCGACAGTAAGAATTGTGGGTTTGAATTCAGTATCTGACTATAATCCAGGAGATTATTATTTTTGGAGCTGCTTTAGCAAATTGTTTTCACTTTAGCAGCTACTCTTAACAATTTCACTTAACTATCCCCCCCCAGAACAGACCAAACACAAATTTACAGATAGAAAAATACTGCTCTGCATTATGTCTTGCTAATTATTGAGATAGAAACATTAGTACATTAATAATGTAGGCTGCCAGAATTGTAGTTTCGCCTCATCAGTCAGAAATTATTATCCTAAAATTTAGGTCAGTGTCTCTTACATTCCGATTTAGGTGTTAAAGCTAAGCATTGCAAGCTAAGGACTCTAGCAAAAGTCGGCATAACTTAAAGGTGATGTCATTCTTTTGTCTACTTGATTCAGTGTGATATCTTTTTAAAAAAACAAATGTTATAGAAACTGGCAGATGCAGCTCCCTTCCTTCATTCATCTGCAAAACCACTAATCCAGCTGGCGACATTCTGAAAAATACAATTACTATATTTACAATATCAATAACCAAGGTTAAAAAATATTTATTTTAGGAAAATGATTAATAGTTACAGCAGAGCTGGATGGGGATGAAGATTTCATGCTCGCTTGCCAATACATACATGTGGGTTCCCCCCCTAAAGTTATAAAAAGTCCTGGACCAACTAATTATATATGTTATTATTCCTGGTTAAAAATGTTCATTTTTGTTGAGGAAAGTGGCATAATTACACCAACACCCACTGGTTTTGTTCTATCCTACCTTTATTAGTGTTGGCCCACTGCAGTGTTTTGTGGCAGTCACAGAATTTGTGGTGAGAGGAGCAGCAGTTGTTGTCCGTGTGACATGCTGATCTGTGACAGGTGGCTTCAAAAAGTCAGCTCCTGGTATTGCTAAGGGGGGATACTGAGAAGAGGAGAAAATGAGAAAAAAGCTATTTAAACATTTCCCAGTATGCAGTAGGTGTCACCTTTTCAATTGAGATTTTGCGGTATTTCATATCGTCTGTATTTCCCTGAAATCAGAATGTCTGAATTCTTATTCCGAATAAGGACATTCTGAATTTCTCACAAAAAGCAATGTACGGGAAATCGTTATGATCATTCAATAAGGAATCCAAACAGAATTATGAAATGCGTAGGCAGCAAGCTTTTTTCTTAAAATAAATTTAGGAATATCTGTATGTTTTATCTCAGTTTGTAATCTTGAAAGTGGTATGAAAGTTTGATCGTACCAATAAAGGAGAATTATTTGCAGCTCAGTGTTGAAATAGTGCTCTCTGAGCTTGGTTGTTTTCTTGAAGATGCTTCGTGACCCAACTAGGTAACATCATCAGTGCTAACCCCACTCCCTTCTAGCACTGATGATGTTACCTAGTTGGGTCACGAAGC